GAAAACTAACCAACAGCAATACAAGTAAAGAAAAACCTATGACTGAAAGAATAAATTCAAGTGGGCTTATGAATAGATGAAATTTTTCATCAGAAACTTCTCTTCTACTTTTAAGACATCAAGTCAATAAAGATTTACACTAATGCCACCATGCCCACTTTTTAACACAACTTTCCCCAGCTAGTGGACGATGGTAAGCACTAATAAAAAATGCTTATCAAGTGAATGATGACAATTAAAGATGCAAGAAGGTACCTAATGTTTAGAGTGTTTGAAATAATTTAACAATTATCTTTAACCAATGCTTGTCATCATCCTGTACAACTCAATATAAAAAAGCAAGTTCTTTAGTTACATGTTCACTGATAAAGCTGATATTATACAATCTCAATCTATTGAGGGTTTTTATTTTTGAAAAATAATCTGAATTAAAAGCCACAAAACATGGAAGGGGTGGGAAAGATCTGAAACAGATGATGTCTAATTCTTTTCCTCAGTCCATCTTAAACACAATCCCAATAATGTCAAAATCGAATTTAGTTCTCTACGTCAGTAATCTATAAAACTTAACAGAGTAATTCTGAAGCAAATTCTTTTTTATTCTCCCAGCTTCTCAAAGGTTCTATATTAGACAGAAATGGGTAGGGACAAGTTAGATGTTAAAAGAGAAAAACTATCATCCTACAAACTCAAAAGTTCTTTCAGAAAAACCTACTTTTAAAAAAGGGCTTCTGTCGTGAGTGGCACACGTAGGGCAACTTCATTGCTCTGAGTGTGGAATCAACATCAAGAGATTCTGGAAGCATAATTTTTTGGTATCTGGGCAGCTGGTGATCACTGGGCCTAGCGCCATTTCAAAACAGAAAAAAAAAAAAAACTATTTTTACCTATGTACAACCACTGAAGCAGTTACTATCAAAACTGGCAATATTAAAATGTAGTTATAATGTCATCCTTTTTTCTCAATATAAGGATTACTTGCCCTTATTTGAAACTAAATCCTTATCACTAAAAAAAGAAATATGCTTTAAAAATAGAAACAAGCTCTGGAAGAGTATTTATTTTATTTGAGTAAAGAGCATTGCCTGAACATTTTTTGAACATTTCCACAGTAATTTCTTTCACTTCTGATTTGGTAACACCAAAAAAATTAACCATACTTTGTTCATTAAATGATTCTAATATATGGTATATGGGTATGTATACATAAATAATATACATGTGCACACACACACACATATAAACCTTCCCACTCTCACCTAAAACTTTGAGGTATCAAAAGAGATACATACTGAAAGTATGTATCATTTTTGGATCTGACAAGCAAATTCCACAATAGACAACTGCAAAGATCCTTGGAATGGTCACATATTTTGAGTGGAAGAGGACATGGAAAAGAGTACCATCTCCAACAGTCTCTATTCATTGCATGCAGTTTAGATGAACTTTTTGATCTAACAGATATTATCCTATCGCATATAAAATAAATGGATTAATATTTTATGAGAAGATGAGGGGAAAAGGGAGCTTCTGATAGCTTTATCAAGTCAAGATAATATGATCTCCACTTAAGATTCAAAAGACAATGAAAAATAATGACCCAAGAAAATACAGAAAAGAGGTTAGGAATATATTTAAGATGTTACCACCTTAGAAGAGCCATTTAGAAAGTTAGGTAATCTTACAAAGCATACAACTGTGCTGGGCGCTGGAGGCTCAAACCTGTAATCCTAGTTACTCAGTTAACAGAGATCAGGAGGATCGTGGTTCAAAGGCACCCCCAGACAAATAGTTTGAGACCCTATTTTGAAAAAACCCATCACAAAAAACAGCTGTCAGACTAGCTTAAGTGGTAAGAGCACCTGTCATACAAGCGTGAGGCCCTGAGTTCAAACCCCTGTGCTGCCAAAAAAAAAAAAAAACAAACTATACAACTGTAGCAAAACATAATTTCAACAGTTTTAAAATTTCTTTCAAATTTACCCGAAACTGTAAACCTCTCTGAAAAGTTATGTTAAACTGCAAACTTTGTACCAACTTTTAACACACACAAAAGAAACTATTAAGTCAAATTATTTATACTCTTTTAACACCAGCTACTTGGGAGGTAGAGATAAGAGGATCAAGAATCCATGCTAGCCCAGGAAAAAGTAAGACCCTTTCTCAAAAAACAAGCCAGACTTGGTAGCCCATGTCTGTAATTCCAGCTATTTGGGAGCCAGAGGTAGTAGGGTAATGGTTAAAAACCAGCAAGGGCAAAAACTTGAGACCCTATCTGCAAAACAAACAATAATCAAAAGGAAAGTGGGGCACTGATGGCTCATGCCTGTAATCCTAAATAGCTGGGAAGTTGAGATCAGGATTGCAGTTTACTGGTGGAGTGGCTGGCCTGGGCAAATAGTTCACAAAATCCCATCTCCGAAATAACCTGGGCAAAATGGACTGGAGCTGTGGCTCAAATGTTCAAACCTCATTCCTACCAAAAAAAAAAACCCTAAGCAAAAGGACTGGTGTGTGGCTCAATTGGTAGGTGTAAGGCCCTGTGTTCAACCTCCATTACCACCAAAAAAACAAAACAAAACAAAAAAAAAACTGTAGGCAGGTGCTGGTGGCTCACATCTGCAATCATAGCTAATTAGGAGGCAGAGATCAAGATCACCACTCAAGGCCAACCCAGGCAAATAGTGTCCCAGACCCTATCTAGAAACAAACTCATTACAAAAAAGAGCTGGTGGAGTGGTTCAAGGTGTAGGCCCCAAGATCAATCCCCAGTAACACAAAACAAAACAAAAAACCAACTGTAGCTCAGTAGTTTAGTGTGTGCCTAGCATGCAAAAGGCTTTGGGTTCAATTCCTCCTTATCACAAAAAGAAAAAAAAAAACAGTAACAAGAAAGATAACACATACTTATCAGTTACCTATCAGTGACTATTAAAAAAAAAAATAGTAACTCAGAACTGGCGGTATGGCTCAAGTGCTGGAGCATCTGCCTAGCAAGCATGAGGCCCTGAGTTCAAAAACCAGTACCATTAAAAAAATAATAAACAGCTTAGTTGAAAATCTTACATAATAGGTTACATATAACTATTGTTTTAAATCCACAAATATATTAAGTCTTCATCTTTCTTGGTCTTAATTCCTTGATTAATGACTTAAAGACAGAAACTTATTACATTTTCATTTATTTCATAAAATAAATGAAACTTTTACTGTATTCTAAATCTAGTAAGATGACTTATGCTACTGATGATTTTAATCTTAAAATTGCCAAGACTTTCTATTTTATGCTCTAATTTTAATTCTATTTAAAGAAACAGTAATGTTAGTTAAGATTTACATACTTTTTTTTCTTTTGGTGATGCCGGAGAGCAAACCTAGGATTCTCACATGCTAGGCAAGCTATATCCCCAGTTACTATATATATTACTTCTTAAACATTTTTTACATCAATCCTTACCATATACACCAGTATGGTGTATCTGAGAAAAAAACTATTAAATACATCTTGGTCACTCCAAAAAATGAACATATCCTATTTTATTATTACAAGTTTTAAAAAACTATTGATCACTGAATTTTATGCTACTTATGATCAATTTCTAGGTGCTGAGATTGTAGCTTAGTAGTTGAACAGGTGTGTAGCGTGCCAGAGGCCATGGGTTGGATGTCCAGTACTACAAAAGAAATAATAAAATTTGTAGACGTCATTGAAAATTCTGTTGTACACATATGCTTTGGAATATTATCACCCAGTTTTCTTCCTACCTAAAACTTGGTTCCACTAAATTGGTCTACCCTTACTCTGTATGATTAATGACAATAATTCATCTTGCGATTCGAAGTTGCTTCTGTTTAAAATGGCCTGTTATGTAAATACATTGTCCCCCTTAGGATACTGGTAAGAATTTAACTCACTCTACTTATGAAGAAACTGAAGCTCTAGTTTGACTTCCCCAAGGTCAACAGATAGCTAGTGGCACAATCTGGGTTCAATCCCAGATTTATCTACTTCAAAGCCAATACTTCCACTTGACCATAATTATCTCCTTAAAAGATTAAGAGTCAGCGACAGCAGAGAATCTTGTCTCTCCAAATGCTCACCTATCTACTCTAAGACAAGTATCACTATTTGCAATTTAGTCACTGTCAGGTTTACTGACAGGTAAAAAATAGGTAAAGGCGTGCCTCAACATGTCTCGCCTAGAACTCCAGCTATACGATTTTCTCAGCTTTTTTTTTTTTTAAAGTACGTATATCTACAAGATGTTCACCACTGTCAGGTGCTTTTCAGGATTGCACTTTTCTAAGAAAATTTATACCAGGTATGTATCAGGCTGTAGGACATGGCTGAACATGCCATTCCGACACTTTCCCCATGTGTGAAGTATCACTTAGGGACAACCCAGTTCCACGCTTTCTTTTACGGCGTGATGCCTGCCCGCTTGGGGGCCACTCTCCCACAGGATGCCTGGGTGAGGGGAGCAGTAGGAGAGGAGAAGCGCACGGAAGTTAGGCTGAGGGAGGTCTCATTACCCTTTTCTGCCCCTAGCTCTGCCAAGGGCGGCTCCGCTGGTGCCCAGCCGACTCGGAACCCCCGCAACCCGGGAACCCAGGCTCCGTCAAAGCGGGGTGTTAGAGGAAGCGGTTAATGGAAGCCCCACCGAGTCCATGCCCTCTTTTTGGCTCTAGATGGTGGTCCCCCTTTCACAGAGAGCTCTCTAGGTGGAAAACTCCCGTCCGCACGGCCGAAGTCTTCTGCCTCTGAACCGGCACCTCCTCCGTCTCTAGCCGGCCACCCGAAACTCTCCGCCCACAGTGTCCCCAAGTCTCTCCATTCCACCCCCGCAACCTTGCACAGACACACACGCCGGCCTGCGCCCCACCCGGAATTCCGGTGTGCCCCGACCCGGGAAAAGGCCCCCCCCCCCGCCAGTTCTCTCAAACACACACATCCCCTCAGACTCCAGCCTCCCGAACCCCGTCGAAGCCGCAGCAAATACCTGAACCGGCCGTGCTCTGAGGTTCAAATGGGGCGGGCGCGGTCCCCTCCGTTGGTGCGGAGCGCTTCTCTACGTACCCGTAGCGGTGGCTTCTCTTTCCAAGAGCGGGAGGGAGGAGAAGCGGCGAAGGGGAGGGGGAAAGCTAGCAGCCTAGGAGCGGCTGGAGCTGAACCGGAACTACTAGCGCTGGCCCCGCCCACAACTTGGAGCCCACAGAGCACCCTGGCGCTTCTAATGGGACAAACCTTCAGCTGGTGTGGAAAAACTGATACCACCACTTCCAGGTCATCTCACTGCAGCCGCCCCCCCCTCCTTAGCAACAGCGTGGGGTTGCTAAGCGGAAGTGTCCTCCAAGACGCCCACCCCCATTTCTTCTGGGACTATCAGGAGGTTGGTTACGCTCTCCTTTAGCAACACTCTATACCTTCTGCTTATAGTTTTAAACCGAGTAAACGCTTCGCTCCCAGAGACATTAAAACGCACTTGCGGCTTCTCCATTGCTCTCTTCTCCTCCATCAGTCTCAAACAACTATACACACCTGCTACCTCCCGCTGAGTCCTAGGCCTACCCAGTGGCTCCTGTGGTCCATCTCGGGAGTTACTTTCAGGTGGTTTAGCAAGCATCTCCCTCTGATGGATTTCCAATTGTGTTTCAACCAGATTTTTTAAATCTTCAATAAAGTGAAACGTATTTCATGCACTTCGTTCTTCTGTGACAGTCCCTGAAGCCGAATGGTGAGAAAATTGGTTTTTTTCACTCTCTTTTGTAAAGATTGTGCATGTTTGTGTATAAACTGGAAATAAACTAGCTAAATGGAAGAGGCAAACAAAAAATGTGATTTTAATCCTTAAAATAGCAAAAGAAAAGACCAAAATAAGCCTGTTATCATGCTTGGGAAGGAGGAAGAATTTCATCCTCCATTCATAATAAACTTTCAAACCTACACTGTGGACAAGTACCAATAAAGAACCGCATTTAGTCTGTACCAGGGCAATTTGGTATTTGAAAATATTGGGGAAACCACTGTTTGGGGTACAAGTCAATGAAATAATCCTCCTTTTGTGAAAATCACCCAGATTACAGTAATTAAACATTCAGAGAAAAAAATGAATAAAAATAATTACTTGACTTTCCTATCTTGAATAGGTTTGCTTAAAAGCAGTAAAGCTTAAGAATAACTTCTGTTTTTTTTTTCTCTTCTATAGCAGTGAAAACACTTGCAAATGCAGGCTCCAATTTTATTAGTCACATAACTGTTCATATGTGATATAGTTCATAACTGATATTGAACTGTTGTCTGCTTCAGTTAGGACAGGAAGTGAGCTTTGGTAACTTGAAAGAAACACCAGGTCTATTGGTTTCCTGGGTGCCTGAGACAGCATTAAATTCATTCGTCTTAGGCAGTCAATTCAGCAAAGCTGCTAGGAAATCACAGTTAGACTCAAATATGCCAGTAGCAGTAGGTTGTTTAATAAGTTTAAAACATTTCCAACCCCGCCATCAACAAGTATACATGTGGGAGTATAAACACATACACACAAACAGTACTGGCAGAATGGCTTATATGGTAGAGTGCCTGCCTAGCAAGCATAAAACCCTGAGTTCAAACCCTAGTGCCACCAAAAAAAAAAAAAAAAAACACATATACACACAAACAATTAAAATGGAATCTGAGCACATCCAGTAATTATTAATTGCTCTTAAAAACCTGAAAGTGGCAAGTGATAAACTTGTTATCATAGAAATTGGTATTTCAACTGCCAACAGGTCTAAATATCAAAAGTCTTTAAATTAGAAAAGTAAAGCTGGGTCATGGTGGCCCATGCCTGTAATCCTAGCTGCTCAGGAGGCAGAGACCAGGAGGATCACCGTTCAAAGCCAGAGCAAATAGTTTGCAAGACCCTGTCTCGAAAAAACCCTTCACAAAAAACAGTTGGTGGAGTGGCTCAAGGTGTAGGCCCTGAGTTCAAGCCCCAGTACTGCAAGAAAGAAAGGAAGAGAAGGAAGGAGGGAGGGAGGGAGGGAAGGAAGGAAGGAAAAGAAAAGCGCTGGCAAAGTGGCTCAAGCAGTAAGAGTGACTGCCTAGTAAGTGTGAGACCCTGAATTCAAAACCCCAGTGTTGCCAAAAAAAAAAAAAAAAAAAAAGAAATGCAAATTCCTATGT